CTACCAGAACTTGTTGATTCGCTTCGAAAATCACAGGACTCTGCTTCAGGTCCTGATGATATTCCATATCAATTTCTAAAGCACTTACCGGACTCGTCACTAACATGCCTACTTTTCATACTCAACCAAGTTTACGCTTCCGGAAAGATTCCCAATTCGTGGAAGAACTCAACAATTATACCTATCCCAAAACCGAGAAAGGATGCTATTGACCCAAACAACTATCGTCCCATCTCTCTGACAAGTTGTGTATGTAAAACTTTAGAACGAATGATAAACACAAGACTGGTTTGGTTTCTTGAGGCCAACGATAGAATATCCCCTCTTCAAAGTGGTTTTAGAAACAGAAGAGGGACAAATGACCATCTCATCAGATTAGAGACATTCATTAGAGAGGCTTTCGCCAAGAAGGAACACCTTGTCGCTGTGTTCTTTGATCTTGAGAAGGCCTATGATACTACATGGCAGTATGGCATCATGAAAGATCTTCACGGCCTTGGCGTACGTGGAAACCTTCCCAATTTTATATCTAATTACCTATCAGATAGACACTTCAAAGTCCGTGTTGGTTCAACTTTTTCTGAAACGGCTAAACAGGAAATAGGAGTCCCACAGGGTGGAATCCTATCAGTCACCCTGTTTGGCCTTAAAATCAATGATATAGTCAAATGTCTTGGTCAATCAACAGAAAGGTCGTTATTTGCGGATGACTTCTTAATCTGTTACAGATCTAAGAACATGCACACGATAGAACGACAGCTTCAACAGAGTTTAAACAAACTACAAAATTGGGCAGACGAAAACGGTTTCAAATTCTCTAAATCTAAAACTGTGTGCATGCATTTCTGTCAAAAACGAAAAGCACACAATGAACCAAATTTTACGCTCGATGGCACTAGAATTCCTGTTGTTGTACAGACTAAATTTCTCGGTCTCATTTTTGATTCGAAACTCTCTTTCATACCACATATAAAGTATCTGAAGGATAAGTGTTCCAAGGCGTTAAACATTATACGAGTCCTTTCTCATACTGATTGGGGAGCGGACCGTGAAATGCTTTTGCGCCTATACAGATCACTTATTCGAACAAAACTAGATTATGGTTCTATGGTATACGGGTCGGCGCGCAGTTCGTACCTGCAGATGCTAGACCCAATCCATAACCAAGGGCTACGTCTAGCCCTTGGAGCTTTTCGAACAACACCTGTAAAAAGCCTGTACGTGGAAGCAAATGAACCATCCCTTTATGACAGAAGAAAAAAACTTGCATTACAGTTTGCGGCTCAATTAAAATCAAACCCTAAAAATCCTGCTTTCGACCAAGTATTCAACCCAAAATATAAAAACATATTTACGCAAAACCGAAAACTTCTGCCAACATTTGGTATCCGAATTTCAAACTCTGATGTCTTTTAACTCACCTTTGACGTTATATATATATCACATATTCCAATTCATCTATTCGTTATCTCTTTTATTATTTTAACCCCCTTTTATTTTTAATTATCTACACAAACAATGCGAATGCTTTTAAAATGAACTATTTTGCCTGATTTAATCTTCGCTATTGACATGTTTGTTAAAAAAATAAAAAAATCAAAAAAAATCACCATGGCCCTAAATGACCAACAGCCGTCGATGGGTCGTTAAACATAAACAAACAAACAAACAAATTATAGAGGGCGGAGCTCTCCCTATAGGTAACACGTATGTAAGAAAAATAAAGATTATTCACAATACCTATGGAACTGAAAAACGTGTCTTAACATGGCCGCCAGTCGCAGGCGCTGTAGTCTCTGCCATCTTGGTCTCGAAACAAGTTCTCGTTTGCCGAATCTCGAACAAACGTTACATTTTTGTAAGATTTAAAACTTAAATCTAACTATAGGATACTTAAATATTTGATACTTTCCGGTTAAAGACGTAAATTCTCTTGACATAACTACACATACTGTGTCTAATACCAACTTGTCCTGCCATGAAGCCTTCGTTCAAAGCAGTCTATACACATTACGAAGTAACAATTTACCAGGTACATGTAATACTGCTACATTGCTCTAGTTCTGAATGGTCGAAAAATGATTGTGTCGGCAGTGTAGTCTCGTTCAATCAGACGCTTGCGTAGACAACAAGAGACTGGTTGAACGAGACTATCTGCAGTGGAATCAGTCTCTACGCAGAGTTACGGTCCTTGCACTCCATATGACAACTCTTGGTAGAGATTGCAGTTGTATATATTTAGAAAACGGAATATCAACAAAACAACGTGCTGGTTGTCAACAAAAAGGAAGTTTATCACAGTTTATAAAGTATTTTCATAAGAATTTTTTAATTGATATTTTGCACGAATTCATAACAATTTCATTTTTGATTACTATCGTACAGCTATTTTTTATTCATAAAAGAAAATCTGCTGTTTTACAAAACTGTATGATTTGAAAAAAAATATCTATACAGTTTTAACTGATTCAATTTTTAATTGTGGAAACTATACATTTTCTCTATTGCTTAAACTATACATATAGTCAGTAAGTTGCTGAAACAAATATACTCATTCCGGTAGAACTGAGATAAACGTGCAAAACATGTGCAGTCTATAATTTTTTGAATTTAGAGATATTTCAAATGATTGTTAGTCACAAATCAACATGTATTCCATCTGTTTCTCTTGAAAAAAATCGTGATTTCAATCCATTGAAACGAAAACTGCAGTATTCTATGTATTCAGAAGAGGAAAGACAACTACAGCAGAAACACTTAGAGGAAGATTTGAAAACTATTAACTCTGCATTACTTGCTTTTACCACACCTGTGAGATGGGATCGCGACCTTTTGTTATGTTCCACAAAGAAACGTGGTAGATTTTGTTTGTATGATGGAGTGCATTCTAGTGATGTGCTGTCAAATAAATGGTATCATTTCATGTGTTTGTCTGTCGCTAGTGACATAGAAGTAAAACAAGCAATTCAATTTGAAGAAGCAATAAATGATACTGACTCCAATTTCAATGAAAATGACTCTTGGGACTTAAAGCGAAATTAATTTGTAACTACCTAAGAAAATACATGTAGCAAATTCAATTTTATGTATATATAAATGTGGTGGGTGACATGCCAGTCGCTAACTGCACGTTTTAACTCATCTGAATCAGGTTAATTCCTGATCAAAGTTTGTCATCCATTTCTTTATTTTTGTGTTAGTAAACTGCTAACATGTTTCACTTCTCAATCTTGGTCAAAAAACATTCTTGTGTTATTTTGTATAAATTTTAGACAAAATTCTATATAAATAGAACCATAACCTATCATTTTGTCAGTTTTTAAAATGTGGAGCATATATCAACTACTTATACATGTTATAACAACAAGAACAACCTTGAAAGGTAGCATGGTAATTTCGTGGGAAATCAAGAAAGGAAACATAACTGTAATATACACTGTATAGCTATAAATGTAGGTCTGATTTACTTATTTAACACATCAATCAATGCTTGAAAGAGTACAGTACCGATATTCCGATACGTTTACAGAACAATCTGGGTCCGCCCTCACAAACGGCCGTGCCGTAAAACATATTATGTAGTCAGTTTATTTTAACTACAGATTGCTTGGATGATTGTCAAGTCGTATACATAGTATACTAGACATCATTTTAGTAAGTTAGCTCTACAGAAGGCATTTGCTTTTGTATTAAAAGTTATAGAAGTGTGACGTAAGTTTGTTATTTTATAACGAAATTATAGTCACACGATATGTTAGTGTTTTAAAGCACTAGACCACTTTACGGCATTATTTGCCGTAAAGTGTCATCCGGGTCTTTGCCAATAGTGAATTAAGGTATAAGTGTAAGGTATATTGTCATTTTTGTTTATTATTGTATGATTGGCCTATTGGTGATGATGAGGCATTTGTTTTTGTATTAAAAGTAATAGAAGTGTGACGTAAGTTTGTTATTTTATAACGAAACCTCAAGCGTGGTCAGTTACTTGCTGGGTTCCCAACCGCATGTTACAATTGTCATTTGGCTTTTGCATTTAATCACATATACCTGACTACCGATATTTAGGTATTTCCTGTAAGACATGTGACACTCACAATAATGTCTGCAGTCAAATTAAGGGAAATGAATCTTCTACCCACGATCTAAAGCGTGATTAAAACGTTCTTTAGTTTGTCACGTTCTGCAATATCATAGCTAGTTATCGGGTTACAATGAATATGTAAAATTTCCTCCAGATAGTTTTAGGCAAATCTGATCTAGATCTGCTTCATCCACCATCTATTTTAAAACCCCGCCTTAAACAAAGTTAACACAACACGTTTAGAAAATCCTTATTCATTTCCCCGTAGAATTGAATATGTAAAAAGCTAAAAGTAAGTGAGGTTGGTATTTCAACGCCGTAGAAAGTTACCATTTATGTCGCCATGTCATTTATTAGCTGGTAGTCAAGTGGTAAAGTGGGCAAATGTCTAGACATTAAGCTCAAATAGCCTTTAAAATAGTGTTTGCAACGTAGACCTTATTATTTATTTCTTATGTCCATTATACATAAATAATATGGACGGATGGATGGATGGATGCATGGATGGATGAATGAATCAACTCATTTTTACAAGTTCAAGTTCTTTATTAACTTTAAGTCTTGCGACTTATCAGTGTACAAGTTATTATATTTTTCACATACATTTGAAAATACCAAGTCATATCGGCTTATTAGAAACTGTGTAATTATTCACTTTTCTAATATATAAGAACCTTTTTGTTTACATGTCAACAAAACACTTTATTCACGATAATATATCTCACATTTCTCCATTAAAATATAATTAGAACAGAAGGTAATATTAATACAATATAATAAAAACAACAGCTTTTACTCTACTTAAATTCAACCAGTAGCATATAGTATATGCAGAACAGCATCATTTCAATATTTCAAAATGTTCATTCAATTTCAATAAATTCTATTGTCAAAAGACAAATAGATTGGGCAGCAGGCAAAATGTTCATTGATAGTGATAACAAAAACTGATGTTATGATTACTGTTTAAAACATTGAGAGGTGTCGCTCCTGCCGCATTGTTTTGGTTAGAGAAGTCTTCACAATCAAAATAGGTGAATTCTCTGACTTTGTTCATATCAGCAACATCTTGACAATCTCTATTATAGTACGGGAACAAATAAAAAGGATCTGTAACCGGGAGAGTCACCTCCGTCGAACCATTATACCCGTCGTTCCTGAAAAGTATAAAGGGGATATCAAAGGGATTATTTGCCTTCATCATTTCATTAACACAAATGTTAATTTAAGTAAAGTGGACTATAGCGATCACCTCCATCCTATTAACTATATACGTTCCACTAACCATTTCACAATTGACCATCTTTTTAAAACCATATTCGTATTAATCTCAACTTTAAGCAGTTCTTGAATACTACCGCACATAGTGTTTGTTTTAATTTTATCGTGGACGATAGGGTTGAACGATATTTGCTAATTTGTGGATGACTTGTCCACCTTTTCGAAGGAATTCCTGGGCTTCATCCATGGTGAAATGCTGTCATTATTTTGCAAAATAAATAAAAATAAAAATCGCTGTTCTTTTTTTAATGTTTTAATGTACAGTTTTTGTAATGTATAGTTAACCTTTGTCTGCCTCTGAAATTCGACTTCATTTCATCCACACTGTCGATATCATTTAGTGTTCTAGTATATATATTACTGAGCAAAAGAAATGTGATTGATGTGCTCGATTCTATAGATATTCTTTTATCATATAATCGACCTGTTATCCAGTGAATTCGCCCGTGTAATATTTTTACATTTGACACTAGTGTAATATACACTGGAGTGTTTTGCATTGTCTGTGCCAGTCAGAAATCGATTGTGACGTCATAATATGGACAATGACGTGACGTCATTAATTGTAAATGGCGCAACTAAATGGCTGTCTCCGTTTGATTAAGCCCTCTACAGTTTTGCTTTAAAACCTGTCAAAATATAAGTTTTCCGAGTTATGTGATAAAGAGTATCTTATTTTTTTCCCATTTCACATGAGCGTTATGAAACTCGTCTCGAATTTTAAATTTTTGCTCGCCAAGGCTCGCAAATATAAAAACTCCTAAGACTCGTTTTATAAAATTTGAATATATCGAATGAAAACTCATTTAAGATCCTATCTATATATTCTGAAATCGTTATCCTGAAAACCAAATATATATCCTTAACCTTAAACAACCTTTTAACATAGAAACCCTAAATATCGAGTTTGAAACCTCAGCGACGAAAGTTTCACTTCTTACCCTTATAGATCTTTTGTAATTTGATCATAACATCAAATAACATCAAATTGCTATTATGAATGTAACAGTTTCAGTAATTGTGACGTCATTGATATTTTAACCCATAATTATTAATTTGGAGATCACCATCCTCTGGTTTTGGTCGCAGGAAGGAGTAACGTGAAGCATTCAAATCTAGTATTGACCCTGACCAGGTTTACAAATAAATCAAAACATTAGCTGCTCGGCTACATATTCAGTCCACAACATCTCAACAATTTCACTATTAAGTAGATATACATCCATGCCAACAAAACTTTCTACTGCTCAAACCAGTTACAGATTTACATTCAAATACTTATCAGTTAATAAACAACACAATAGCTCAATCTAGTTATAACATAATTACCGGTTAATAAACAACTCAAAAGCTAAATCCGTTTATATCCCAATTACCAGTTAATACACAACTCAAAAGCTAAATCCGTTTATATCACAATTACCGGTTAATAAACAACTCAATAGCTTTATTCAATTTTTACATAATTAAATGGGTTTTAATGGATTTTAAGCAAAGTTATGATTTGCACTTTATCAAGTTTACTTAGTGAATTTTACCAGATTTGTATTTTCTTCTATTTGGTAAAGAGTGGTGAACTATATTACAGTAACACTTTTTAATACCGCCACAATTGATCCTGAAAATTATTGGCATTATAAAAACGTTTGGCGATAAATTAAGGGAAATGTTTCAGATTTATTTTAAGAAAATAATGAAAAAGGGACCTTGACATTTTTGCGGTAAGCTTTTTGGCTTGTTGGCTTGAGGGACTTTACATCGAGGTTTTACTGTATACAAGTATATATATGTACTGCTTTTACAGAGGTTTTATATTGACCAATGACAAGACGTCTTCCAAGATGACATTTTTCAGTGAGGATGTCGAATATCTCTTTATTCAGTTGTTTACCAAATTGTTTTTTTTTGTGTTCATTTGTGATTTTCGATAAGCTTCGTTTTTACAACACCAAATATTAAATGGAATTCAGACCAGAAACTCACACGGAAAGTCTCGAGAGGGAGAGGTTAGGGAAAGCGAGCCTAACTAAAGAAATTTTAGCAAAACAGCCATTGAGATTAGTGTAAAGCAATTATACTCATATTCGGTTAATTCTAAAATGAGATCAAATGCAGTTCCCCGATATAACATTGTTCTGTATGTACGGTATCAGAATTATTTACTTGTACTTACTTGCAACAAAAATACAGAGCGACATCGATAAACCAGCTGGATAAGTCCGGTAGTGTACCATGATGGACTCTATTTGTTTGGTTTCCGTTGTCCTCCTCGTCAAAAGCAACTAATCCAGGCATAAATGCTGAAAAGAGGAAACACATATATTGCAAGGAAGTGAATCCAAACGATTACAATCACTGATCATATGCCAGATGCAATACATGCTACCTAAAGTGTCCTCAGTTTTTTTTTATCAGATATTCAATCTTGAGTAAGCCCTGACTATGTATTTGTACTGTATGCTATGACGCTTTTGTTTTTTAGACTGTATTATGACTCATATTCATCATTAAGAAGAAGCGAATACAGAAGTGTAAAAAATCATAGTTAGGAAATAGATAAAACTAGGGCAAATCATGAACAAAGGAAAGAATAACACAATCAAAAACATCGAACTTAATATCACAAAAAGAAATGGTATATTTCCCAGCGAGATCCTGACGGCGACCATAAAACTTATCCACAGTCTTCATTGACCTGGACCTTTGGACACCCTGTGTAGTAATTTTGTCTGTCAGCAGTCGTCCTTTGGAAACCCTGTGTTATAAGTTCGTCTGTCAGCAGTCGTCCTTTGGAAACCTTGTGTTGTGAGTTTGTCTGTCAGCAGTCGCCCTTTAGAAACCCTGTGTTATAGGTTTGTCTGTCTGCAGTCGTCCTTTGGAAACCCTGTGTTGTAAGTTTGTCTGTCAGCAGTCGTCCTTTGGAAACCTTGTGTTGTGAGTTTGTCTGTCAGCAGTCGTCATTTGGAAACCTTGTGATTTAAGTTTATCTGTCCGCAGTCGTCCTTTGGACACTGTGTTGTAAGTTTGTCTGTCAGCAGTCGTCCTTTGGAAACCCTGTGTTGTAAGTTTGTCTGTCAGCAGTCATCCTTTGGAAACCCTGTGTTGTAAGTTTGTCTGTCAGCAGTCGACCTTTGGAAACCCTGTGTTGTAAGTTTGTCTGTCCGCAGTCGTCCTTTGGACACCCTGTATTGTAAATGTGTGTCTGTCAGCAGTCGTCCTTTGGACACCCTGTGTTGTCAGCAGTCGTCCTTTGGAAACTTTGTCCGTCAGTAGTAGAGATCTATTACGGAAGTCATGATATTCGGAGCAATCTCTTAATTACCGAATCAACTGCGACATGTAAACAGGTAGGGGAGATATTAAAGGTGGGTGTTGCTTTCAAGAAAGAGAAAGTTCATAATAGGAAAGTCGAAATGTCCTGCTTTTCGTACAGCTTTGTAATAAGCCGTCCCTTTTGATCATGTTGCAAGTTAAGATCGAGGAAAGCGGCAGACATGCATTTCGATTTCTTTTATTTTTTTCGCCATATCTAGATGTATAAAATTGAACAATAACTGCATTAATGATTATTCATTATTACTACTGATAACAGAAATGGACATCCATGCATAACATCAGGTTGAGTGACGGGGGTATCCTAACAAAATGACAGATTAATGCCACAGGCAAATGTAATTTTGAAAATGAATTATGATAGTGTACAGTGTATACAATTACTGTTATTTTAATACTAAATATTTATTATTGGTATTCATAAAGTAAGCTTGTAATAAGAAAAACATAAAAGATTTTCACAAAATGTGAAATATAACCAACATTGTCAACTTGCTTATATATAGTAACAATGGTAGTCTATTTAAGCTTCTCTAACAAAACCTCCATATATATATATCTTCTGTCTATAGAATCACTTTTATGTAATATCAAAACCGGTAAAGTACTTTTTAGCATGTCAAACATGATCAATATCCAATTTGAAATTATCATGGAGATTTGATTATCAATGTTAATTATGGTAAATAACGATTCATTCATTAAACAAAATATGAAGGAATATAACAGAATTTTATATCTTTAACTCTAAACAAATAGGGCAAGGAACGATGTCCTTGTCTGACTCCCTAAACAAATGTTTTATTTTAGCATATTTGATTTTGGTGATTTTGAAGGTCAATGCCTACAACGTTCACGAAACTTATATCCATTCACGTGAACAACCTACTTGCTAAATATCAAGACACACGGACCTTTGGTTATTAAGAAACACAAGTTGAAGGAAAACAGTGATTTCCTTTCTTCAAATCAAAATTGTAATATAACAAATTTACCGATTGTCATTTTTTTGAAATTCCTAACGTTGGAAGATACTATTGGTAGCCAACATTTAAGCGGGTGTGAAAAATAGCCTCGTTTTAGAACTATGTAAATTAACGTGTCAAAAATAGGAATGTACTCATTCGTGATGAAATTTCACAATCTTTTTGCTGAAATCTTAATTAAAGAACAATTATCTCCTGAAATAGTGTAATATGCTAATGTTAAATCTCCATAGGCATTGACCCTACCCTTTATCAAATGTTTAAAGGGTTCCCCGTACCACTGCCAAAAACTATAACAATGCATTGTATGCTATTTTTCAAGCGTGTGGATGGCTTTATAAATCATATATGAAAGAAAAACTATACCTAACAGAGCTTTTATGTAACACAACGCATGCAATAAAGAAACAAATACAGACATCTTAGACCAGGGCCCGTATTCATGAAACTATTCTCATGCTCAACCACGGACTTGTTCCGGGTTATAAAGTAAGACAAATCCATATTGTCTCAATAGTTTAGAGACATTTTGGTGAGACTTAAAGCCGAATACCGTTTTCAATATTTACACTTGACCTTGGCTGTGTCACATGATTTAGGCGAGTTGCAAGAAAGTTGGTTTGAACACAGAATCCATGCTTGAGCATGATAAGTGTTTCATGAATACGGGCCCAGTATTAAAATACTGAACATGGCACTGTTGCTTTAACCAACCATAAATGGTCGTATCCTTGTCAATTTGAGCTAGTTATTTTCAAAACGAAATTGACGCATGATTACTGTATGTACGAAAAGCCACATACTGGATTTCTCTAGTGATTTTCATGTAGTAGAAGAAGGATGCCTGATCAATATAGCACAAACACAAACTTACGGTATGTTATGTAAGTTAGCATACGAGCATCTTACCGTTGGGACATGCACCACCATGTCGTAGTATGCAGTAAGACCCCGTTGGCCAATTCGGCGATCCGTCTGTAGATGTCTTCGTACAGAAGTGCCATTGCACCAGATTGTTGACTGAATCACCTACAATATAGACGATTGTCAATGTTGGTGAATGCTATTTTCAATAATTGTCAATATCCATTGTTCGTTTTTGATAATGATTTCTATTATAATAACCAGAAAATATTTTTTTCGTTGCTACTTAACGTCACAACGTTATTTCATTGATACATTAAAAAAAAAAAGATATACATTGCACTGTCTTGAATAAACAAAACTGATTAGATGAAAATGATAACAAGGGTGGTCGGGTGGCCGGGTTGCCGGGTGGCGCCGTGGATAGCGCACTTGCCTTTCATCAAGGCGGCCGGAGTTCGATTCTCCGATCGGACGTGAAAAGGTATTGGGTCACCTGCCCAATCAAGTTGGTTTTATTCGGGTACTCCAGTTTTCTCCCACATTAAGACCCCCGCGCGCTATCATCCAGGCAAACAAGAGTGACCAATATAAATTGAAATAACTTGTTTCATATTTTTTGTGAAATAAACAATAATCAAAATTTAAATAAAAGAAAAACAACAGAATAACGCAGAATAAAAATCCCGTAAAACTCAAATCCAATAAAACTACCGCAAAAGATGAAAAAAAATAAACAAACAAACAAAACGAAAACAGAGACCATGTGGAAAGTACAAGGACAGATCAGCTGTTCTTGAAGGGTAAGTGTATTCTTCTTCCTCGATGAAATCCACAATGAAAGATTAGGTCAAATGTAATGCAACGTCCTCAATGCGAGAAGCATGGTAGTGAAAACAAAACAAGAAACAAATAGATATTCATCTACATTATTTCTGCATAAACAACAATCAGGAGTCGTTGAACGCCTTTCTAACGTCATTCGTGATGGCTGACAGTGTTGAGTGATTGAGTGATTGACTTGTTGTTGGTAAGTTTTGCTAATTAATATGTTAAATTTTCAAAGCCGGGTTTGCATTTCTTTACCCAATTATTATTCTTAAATACGTCAGATAAAGTTAGGTAATTATCGATTTAAGTATTTTTTGTGTGTTCGTAGAGATAACCCCTTTTGAATAAATAAGTGGCTATTCTCTTTCTAATGCACCATGTATATTTTCTAAGTTAGAAATGTCTTGTTTTATTAAGTTTTCGTTAATATGACAGTATACATTATATTTAATTGTTCTGGTAGTAGAGACATATGAAGGCTTATTTCCCAAAATGAATCATATTTGACATCGGTTTTCACCCTCGCGAATGATATTGATATCGGGCTTCCGCAATTCACGTCAGGAAATATTTACCACCGGGTCAAAAAAGTTCAATAAAAAGAACACACCGAAAATGCGTCATTCACCAGGTTACTTTTGTCTTTGTTCAAAACAATGAAAAAAAAAAATGAAAAAAACTTTGCAGTCATTAAAGTTTCAAGACCAACTCAATTCATCCCCCCATGAAATAGACAAAAGCAAGATTCATTCCTTAAATATCATCATACGTTTACACCAAATTCTGGCGTTATGCCAGGAAATCAATATATAGATTTTTCCAATTTACAAACGACGCCTCTTGTATGTATATGTGACGAGTATGGTAAACCACACATGTATATATAACACAGAAAGCACACCTAATACCACCATCTACAGAGACAGAATATGTTAGTGCGAGCTTTCATTTATAGGTAAAAAATGGCGGAAGTGTCAGCTCGAACTTTCGTTATTATGCAAAAAATGGTGATGTGTCAAATATCAAAATGATTTGTAAAACGGAGACCATGGCTTTGTTAGGAAGTATCTGAAAATTATTTACAGAAAAAATATATTTATCTTCTGTTCAAGTTCAAGTTCAAGTTTTATTTACCAAAAGCAATACAGCGTATAGGTTATGCAATTACATCATACATGGTACGATGCATAGTATTTGTATGCATCAATCTGAAATGATTTTTTTTTTTTTTTTGCAGCGAGAAAATTAACTGGGTTCTGATTTTAAATTTCGCTTTGCCGTCAAGGAAGATTTACGAGCGAAGAGCGATAACTCTTGCCAGTTTGGTAGAGTGGCTCCGTAGCGATCTAGCACTTATTTTCACGTCATGTGATAGACTCGAATAAATCAGGAACACACTAACCGTGTATTTATCAGTATTGCGATATACTTATAGTTTAAACTTACATTTATTCAACAACCATTGCAAACTGGAGTTATCATCTCTACATCCTGACCATAGGACGTGACGAGTTTCTAAAACGTCAACAGTAATACATGTGTAACGCATCAACTTTGTGTGCGTTGCGTTCAATTACCTGATGACGGGGAGTCCGTAAAATTATACCGGCCGTTACCAGAAATTATCGAAAGGTGATACTACACCTTTGGCTCCCGATATCAGACAGGTAAGACGTGTTTTGTCTAGCAAGGTAATCCAATGATTTAAGGATTCTCTAATATGGCTGCCACACCAAACAGTATATCAAATTCAATAATGCATTCCGTTAGCATTAAACAATCCCTGTCACAAAACAATCCTCCTCCAATATTTCTCAAACATAATTGAGGTACATGCGCACTAAATTGTTGGAATGTCCTTAAATATTCTATGTCGCACATCCTAAATTCGGGTTTAGGTACTTTTATGGAAGATCCATTGCCAGGTTTTGAGTATTATTTTTGCATTCTAGCGATAATTAAGTTGGGAAATAGGGAGGTAAATTGTAATACAATTTTCGGGAGACATGTCGGTTTTCATACTGTTTGGAAGAGAGATGTTTATTGGTAGCACTTAGGCAGTGACTGAACATTCTCCGCCCTGTCTGTTTAGGGCATTTAGTGATGGTTTCTATGAGCTGTAGGCTCCTCGAGCTCACATGAAGAAATGTTGAAAAAATAGAAGGGTTAACGGGTAAGCTATTGAGTGGAAGTGATAGTGGTATGCTCTCGACCACGTGTCATCTTATCTCGGGAAAGGCTTTAGAATACGTTCCAATGTATCTAGCTAGGTTGTGCGTACAAATTATAGTAAGGGCAATTTTACTCTTTATTCTACCGAATGTTGGTGTAAATTCGGAAACCAACATGCCGCCACGTGCTTTGTTAAGTTTGATACTGCATGTAGACATAACATAAACATGTAAATCAACATCAGCAAAATTTGTTTTTGCCACCAATCTCTGCTTCCTCTCTATCATCTCATTCTTCATTTAAAATCAATGGAATCTGCAAGCGAAAGCGTCAGTCGAACCCGATTGAGTAGGGTAACGTTCGTTACAATTGGCGCCCACGTAGAGACCCGTTCGTTACACATGTAGGCGGAGCTATGCAAATTTTCTGGAACGAGTCACCATTGTGTGACGTCTTCAATCGTAGATATTGGCGGAGTTAACCAAGGCTTATGCTAATTTCCGGCTGTTACTTTTATTGAACCGATTACACGTAAATATGTATGGAATGAGCTTTTTGTCCACTGATCAGATTAATGAATAAAGTTGTTATGGATATGAATGATACTCAAGGGATTACGCTAACTTGCACTCTCTGCATCCCTGGAATATGTCATAGAAAAATTAAAGGCACGCGGCGTGATATTTGACCCGACAAAGCCAGTCAATTTTACCGTTAGGCGACCTCGATATTATTTTGATGTACATCAAAGGATCAGTCTTGTCTTCCTGTCTCATACTCAAGGTGGCGGACACTGAACGTTCGATTTTGCTATGAATTAAATTAGAAGAGTCAGAGAACGTACGTTAGCGTAACCCTTGAGTATCGAGGATGAATTTTCACATACTCTGCTTGCGTTATCAACCTCACAACCTGATAGAAATAGAAAGTCATTCCTGAAATGAAGAAGACAGATTGGTTCTATTGTAATAACAAAAATATCAATCCAAGAACTAATCGGGATTCACAAAAGGATATGGTGAATAATGTTTGTTAATGTAAGCAAGCTTAACAGTATAAGTATTATTCGGATATATAAACAAAACGAATATAGATTGATTTAAAACAAATTTGCATGAGTCAGTGTCAAAATATATTTCAAATGTTTATACGGAAATATCACAAATTAACAACCATAACATACAGTTAAAGAGTTATATACAATATCTTTTTATTCTCGTTACTGTAAAGACACCTGCAAAGTATTTCTGTTTGTGAGTTGACTCGTTCAAAGTTTTTACCTTCGAGATAAGTGCCAGAGTAATAACTAGATCCTGGGTTCTGCATTTCGAACTGTATATATCCTGTAGACCACCCATCTGGACAGCCGCTGGAAGGTTGCAGCAATGTGAACGGTCCCTTTGGCCACAGATCGACTGTAAAATTGTTATCATTGAGCTACGGTTATAAAGGTATACATAAACTTGCAAGCAACCAATGTACATGTGTAGTTTCACTGATTTGGACTGGTTTCGATATGAAATAGTTTTAATTAAGGCTACGAATACATCTATAAACATTTTATATTTGTAAAGGTATTTGTGAAACATGTAACCATGCTTTCTTATAAACTTAATGTAGATTATGGTTACTATATAAACACGTGCAAACTCTATAAAATATATTTTACAAAGGTCAATGCTTCTTAAGTTAAATATGTAAAAACACTATATAAACTTTATATAAATAAGGTTACTAGTTATAAGTGTACTAATGTTATCATATTAACTTTTAATAGGTTAAGGATACAAAGTTTGGACTTTATGAACGATTTTACTATGTCAAACGTGTAATAGGTGCTGCGATTGGTAGAAACCGTTGGAACATATTCCTGCGCCACTACATGTACTACCTGTATTACTATACCACATGATACTTAATAAATAATGTTATTTTAAATGAATTTGAGTTGTTTATTTTTTCATGATTATTTGCATTGCATTTAAAACTAAAACCTAACCATCTGAAACTACTTTTCACTGCGCGGAACAACAATACTATAATAGGAGTACTTTGGCATTGACCTATATAGAGTCTGCTGATAACAAATAATTGCGTTATTTTTAAAATTATGAATGTTGCATGTGTGGTAAATAGAATCTTACAATTTTGTCCAAGTCATATTTATTTATTGAACTCGTTTAATAACTCAATTTGACATGGACACTGATGTAAGGACCCCTATAGGTAACTAGTTAAGTATAAATGCTATATTTTATAAATTGCATATGTTAAGGTTATCAGTGATACATGTATTAATGCTATTTTATTAACCTTATATATATATTGTTTATAAGTAAAACACGTACCTAACTGATATAATTTTATTAACATTTTACTTATGCTTGTATGAAACACATAAAAATATATAATGCCAGTACTGCAACTTATATTTTGCCTTATAACATATTTATCTTGCCGATAATGACCCGATAGATATTAAGATATTCAAAATATGATTTCTAACTTACATATTTAAAGAAATTATGTATTGTAGCCAAAAGTTCTAACAATAGGCTCGGTTTTATAAGCAGCTTTTCACTTTTCGGATCATTGTAGATTTGGATTTTCAATTGTTTGATATTATGTGCCATTGATAAGTCACCAATGGACGAAATGGCCCGTTGATACCGTTAAACGTTTACCTTGGCAACCTGCACTGGTAAACTAATATAAGCTCTCTGCTATTTAACATTATAAACATAGTATGGAATAATGACCCGCGAACATTAAACGAAATGCAAATATTCTAATGGTATGATGTAAATAGTTTTTGTTTCTGCAGGCAATATGATTGCTAAATAGGCGTAGCGTGTTTTGTCCCATTTTGATGTGTCGTCCCGTTTGTTGTACTGTTTTTCTGATAGTGTTAGTGATATACATGACTCTATGGATGCCAGATTTAAATATTTATCTTGAGTTTTTCTAACATTTAATTTTTTTATATTTGAAGGCAATAAAATAATAAAAAAATATCCCTTTTTAAAAAGACGATAAGGTGAAACCCTACATGAAGATTTTGTTTTGAAACACAGCCATCGTATCCTGTTAATCCTATTGATGTTAAATGTTAATGAACATATACATGTAATATTAAAATTTTAGGATTAAATATTTTGACATTTTAACATTTTTAAGTTACCATTTATTCTAAGAAGGGTTTATTAATTATCCCACACTTATGTCCATGGTAAGTGGCTAAAAAAACGTACCATTGTTTGTCCCATTTTGATGTGTCGTTCCATTCATTGTACTGTTATTCTGGTCCACACAGCTTCCATTGATTGTATTGTTTGACATTCCATCTACAATGCTGATAGGTAATGATGAATTCGATCCATAGTTATGAGATGTCTCATTCCTTGCTTCCTGTTGAGAGCATACGATGTTCCCGTTATTTCTCCCATAGAACAGGCACCCAGGCCTTGAGAATACATACACCTCCCCAATGCCATTCGCGGGTGTAAAAATCAGTTCACAAGCAGGATCCAAAATTGTATCACATATATTTATACCCTCACAAACACCACCGATAGATGGCGCCATATGAATGCATTCTCTCGCGCATTCTATGGCCGACTTGACATTCACTGTCTTGTTCATTTCCGAGAAGGCATACCCATCATTTCTGCAAACTATTGTAAACGTCTCATCAACATAATTGCTTTGCACTGATTGTGATAATACTAGGAAAACTTGATTAACAAGAAGCAATGTACCAATCACCTTGTCCATTGTTTTCATATTGAGTACCAGCAGTAGTTTCCGTAGTAATATTTAGGGTAATGGTACTCTAAAACAGATGAAGACTATGACATTGACATCCGTTCTGTTTTACTACTGTATTACTTCTGCTGCTGCTGCTGCTAATGCTTCGACGACTACTACGACTACACGACTACTACTACTACTACTACTACTACTACTACTACTACTACTACTACTACTACTACTACTACTACTACTACTACTACTACTACTACACTACTACTACTACTACTACTACTACTACTACTACTACTACTACTACTACTACTACTACTACTACTACTACTACACTACTACTACTACTACTACTACTACTACTACTACTACTACTACTACTACTACTACTACTACTACTACTACTACTACTACTTTACTACTACTACTACACTACTTCTACTACTATACTACTACTACTACTACTACTACTACTACTACTACTACTACTACTACTACTACTACTACTACTACTACTACTACTACTACTA